GTTTTGTTTTGTTTTTTAAAGTTAGCCTGGCACATTATGATGGTGCAGTTTTAGCAGTAGGTTTAAAAAAGAAAAAAGAAAAAAAAAAGTAACCCACTCTATTAACCAGAAGAGAAAGATGATACTGTGGCAGATCAGTAGCAAATAAGTGACTTAATCGATGCTTTACTGTAGTTAAATAGCTATGGCCTTACTACTTTGTCAATATCAGCTTAATTGTCTTGAAAATGTCTGCTATTTTTACTGTTACCCGAGTGCGTGTTCACTTGGGGTAGAATATCTGGTATGTACAGATGATATTTTAAATTTGTAAAATGCACCATTGTATTACAGACGATGCAACAGAAATGCACTTCGGGGGGAAATTGCTTCTGATAAGTTTTTTTGTAAATCCTTGATTACTACAGATATGCAATAGAATTTTTGTTTCTAATTTTGATATTTCCTTCTGAAACGTTAAGATTGTTGCCATTAATCTGAATGATTTACCATGCTCTTCTTTGTGTGTATATATTACATATAGTCTGAGCTTCCTTTAGGATGGTACATAATTTTGGTTTGTTGTAGTATTTTAGTTGGCTCTTCTCTTAAGTGCCTTTAGCGTAGGCACTTCAAGAGGTTAACGGAGTCGATGTTTTTAATGTACAGTTGGGAGGACTTGAACTATGGAGTTAAAACAACTTATTTCTGAAAAAAATCCATCTGCGAACTAACCTGTAACAACTTTAAAATTTTATATTTAAGAACCAGAGGTTTATTTTTATGGAGCTTCAGTTATGGATACAGTTTCCAAAAAAAAAAAATAATGCAACTTCAAATGTAAACAGACTGTGCATACATGGTTTTTGTTCTAATTTTTATAGAATACAAAATATTCAGATAATATATTGAGGTCAAGTTCCTACAGCCATCTTGTTCCTCCCGGATGAATCCAGCTTCCCCTTGGCATTTTTGATCTCTCTCCAAAGCGGTAGGGCTTCAGCGAAAGGAGAAAAACGCAACTTCTCTGGCTTCTCTACTTTGTCTGTTCTGGTATATTCCTGTTGTCAACAACTGTCCAAAACAAAAATTTGTGTGAAGTAGGTTCATGCTTTAAATGTTAAAATGATAATACATGTATTTGTATTTGTTTTTGACATTGCCAAGGTGCTATGGGAAATTGAAATAACAGTTAGAAAAATAAAGCTGATTTAAAATAAATAAAAAAAAACAACACAACACCCCCAAACGCCCCAGCCTGTTGTGCTGTTGAACTGCCTCTCTCCTTTTTCTCCAGATCCCTCATTGTCCGGGGCCAGGGCGGGCACTTTAGCACAGTCCCTGCCCTCCACCCCTCCTCACCTTTGGGTGTTTTTGCTCCGATCTTGCTCCTGGCAGCCGCTGGAGCTCGGGAAGGCAGCTGGAGCCTCCAGGAGCTTCTCCAGAGCCCCGCTCTCCTCAGGGAGCCGGCCTCTGAGGTAAACTTTCTTCTTCGGGACACACACAAAACCCTTTTTTGGCTTCGTTTTTTTTGTAAGGTGTTTCCAGCTCCCTCTGAGCCTGGGTTCGGGGGTGGCTGTGGGGCTCTGGGCCTGTT